CTTCTCCTCCCACCTGCAACCCTCCCCTTTCCCGCTCCCTCTTCCCTTCCATTCACATCAAGATTCATTTTCAATTCTCTTTATATACGGAAGATCAGTTTAGTATATATTAAGTAAAGATTTCAACAGTTTGCACCCACATAGCAACACAAAGTGAAAAATACTGTTTGAGTACTCGTTATAGCATTAAATCACAATGTACAGCACATTAAGGACAGAGATCTTACATGAGGAGTAAATGCACAGTGACTCCTGTTGTTGACTTAACAAATTGACACTCTTGTTTATGGCATCAGTAATCACCCTAGGCTGTTGTCATGAGTTGCCATAGCTATGGAAGCCTTTTGAGTTCACCGACTCTTATCATATTTAGACAAGGTCATAGTCAAAGTGGAAGTTCTCTCCTCCCTTCAGAGAAAGGTACTTCCTTCTTTGATGACCTGTTCTTTCCACTGGGATCTCACTCGCAGAGATCTTTCATTTAGGTCATTTTTTTTTTTTTTTGCCAGAGTGTCTTGGCTTTCCATGCCTGAAATACTCTCATGGGCTTTTCAGCTGGATCCGAATGCCTTAAGGGCTGATTCTGAGGCCAGAGTGCTGTTTAGGACATCCGCCATTCTATGAGTCTGCTGTGTATCTCGCTTCCCATGTTGGATCGTTCTCTCCCTTTTTTGTTCTATTGGTTAGTATTTTCAGACACTAGTCTTGTTTATTTGATCCCGTTGATTCTTAGTCTTATCGTTATGATCAATTGTGAACAGAAATTGATCAAATGGCGGAGTCCGCCTTTCAAGTCAGCTACCAGTGTTGTAGCTGTTGGAGCCACAGGGCGTCTCTCCCCTGGCCTCTCAGGTCTATGTGAGAATTTGCCTATTTTGTAAAGGATGGAGTTCCTGGGCCCTGGAAGAGTAGGGTGTGACAGTGCTGTGGTGGGGGAGGCAGCCAACCAGCAGTAGCAGGAGTTCCTTGGGTAGGAGGCTGTAGCAGAGGAGCCTCCTTCATTCTGGATTTCTGTTTGGCTCCAGCAGTGGGGTCTGGAGACTGCTTGTGGCATTATGCTAAAGCAGGAAAGGATGAAATTTGGAATGAAAGGGTCTGCTTTTAAATTTGGGCTCTAGCCTTCAGCTGTGTAGACTTGAACAGCTTCTCTTAGTTTCCTCCTGTGTAAAGTTAGGGAATATGTTGGTGATGAGGTCGTCCTTAATCTTATCTCAAATGGGAGCTTGTAAGAGAAAGGGCTTTGTAAAATGTAAGCTCTGTAATTTGTTTAAAAAAATTTTTTTTTCCAAAAAGAGAGGATTTGTAAAGGAATGTGAACTTAATCTGTTTGTGTGTGAGTCCATTTGACTCCTTTCTGATGAGGTTGTAATTTTCCAAGGCTTCTTTTGGCTCCCCATCAATTTGGTTTAAAAAGAAATCAGACTGAAAGATATGATGGCCAGGCTTCAGTTACTCAGGCTTGGGGCTCTTAGCTGGTTCTGGCTTGCCCAGAATCTGTTGGGATGTACTTAGCAGAAATGCCATACCCACAAAACAGTTTGAGTGAAATGCTTCTGATTTTACACTTCTCAGCAATGGAGCATGAGAAAGTAAAAACAAACTTCTATTTTATCTTTTTCCTCTCCAGATTTCCACCCCCCTCATTATTTGAGTTTTGTGAGTGGTCATGTGCCGGCATAGCAACGTTGAAGAAAGTGATTATTTGATTTTTAAAATGAAAATATCTGATGTTTTGAAATATTGTAAAGAATAAAATGGACATATTTAACAAATGTAGATTTTTAAAATTTATATGACAGATAGAGTTAGACAGTGAGAGAGACAGAGATAGAGGTCTTCCTTCCGTTGGTTCACCCCCCAAATGGCTGCTATGGCTGGAGCTACGCCGATCCGAAGCCAGGAGCCAGGTGCTTCCTCCTGGTCTCCATGCAGGTGCAGGGGCCCAAGCACTTGGGTCATCCTCCACTGCCTTCCCGGGCCACAGTAGAGAGCTGGACTGAAAGAGGAGCAACCAGGACTAGAACCTGGTGCTCATATGGGATGCTGGTGCTGCAGGCGGAGGATTAGCCAAGTGAGCCATGACGCTGGCCCCAAATGTAGGTATTTTAAAGATTTATTTTATATATTTGAGAGGCATATTTACAGAGAGAGAAGGGGACAGACAGATCTTCCATCTGCTGGCTCATTCTCCCAGTGGCTGCAACAGCCAGAGCTGGGCCAGGCCAAAACCAGGAGCCAGGAGCTTCTTCAGGGTCTCCCACATGGGTGCAGGGCCCCAAGCACTTGGGGCCATCCTCTGCTGCTTTCCCAGGCACATTAGCAGGGAGCTAGATTGGAAGTGGAGTGGCCAGGACTTGAACCGACGCCCATATGGGATGCTGGCTTTGCAGGTGGTGGCTCAACCTGCTTTGCCACGCCACCAGCCCCTAACTGTAGATGTTTTAAATTCAACCTCTCACTGGACGGATACTGAGCACCTATAGCACTCCAGTCCGTGTGTGAGGTGCTGGGGGTACCGTAGCCCCCCAAGGCAGACAAAACTGTGCCCTTACACACCCGACCATTTCATAGCCTTTGTGCATTGCACAAGTAAGCCCACAAACACAAGTCTCTTGAACAGAGTGTACTGAAAGGATAGCAGGGATGCCGATTAGATTGGAGGCCAGAGGAGGCCTCTCTGTGGCAGGTCATTTGAGACTTGAAAGGCAAGGAGAAGTTGATCAGGTAGAGGTAAAAGCAGGTGCTAAGGTCCCGAGGTGGAAAAGAGCTAGAACTTCGTGGGGAAGTGGCAGGATGAGGGTAGTGAGGGAGGCATTGACTTCAGGCATCTTGAGAGAGTGGTTGTATCCTAAGGGGACTACTGTCCACACTGCTGGCTGTGGCCCTGATCGAGGCGTTCAGTCAGGCCTTATCCTCCTTGATTCGTGCTGCTTGCTTTGACGATAGAGTTGGAAATAAAATGCTTAGCACTGTCTTACACAGTGAGCCCGTGCTGTCCTTTAGAAAATGTGGAATATACAAGAAGCCACACTGGCTCACCCTTCTCAGGAAGACCCGTCAGAAAAGAGGGGGAGTTTGTTTTTTCTCCATGGACTAGGTGACTCAGGCTAATTCCCCAGCGTTGACTTAAATGAGAGTGGCCTGTGCTTGCCTGCCTGCCTACACTGCCTCATCCCAGTGGCTGGATGCAAAGGTCTAAAGCTTGGCTCAGGGCCTTTCGTTTTCTAAAACCCAGATCTCTGGTAAACAGATAATGGGAAAGCCAGAAAGGAAGGTTGGGAGGTCAAGATCTCTGTCCTGCTTTCCACATCCTGCCACATTCCAGCTGAGTTTTGCCTGATAAAGTCATAGCCTGGCCCTGCCAGAAGGGACAGCCAGGGTCACCTCATCCCCCCTCAGTTTGCGGGGTCAGGGTGGACCATGGCTGTGTGCATACCCTAGAAGGGTTAGCATTGTTAGTTTGGTGTGGGCTGGTTAGAAACTGTGAGGACTGCATCTGACTTGGAGGCCTAGGGTCTGAGTGTCGCGTCCTGGCTGGGTCCTGGCTGGGTCCCTTGAAGGATCTGGCACCTGGGGCTCAGTCTTTACAGACATAACCAAGTGTTCTCCAGGTCTTCTTCCATTAGCTCCCAGGGGTTACGGGCCTTCTGCAGGGGGAGGCCGAGCCCTGTGAGTGCTGGGAGCCTGGGGGTGGAGTGAGCTGTTGGAATTCCCATGTCAGAAGAGTCATGGGCTAGCTCAGGGGCAGTGGGAATGATGTCTTTATTATACCTTAGTTTAGAAAATAGCTGATGACAAAAAGGTACTCTGTGGTTAGTGCTACTTCCGGTGAGTTTGTACTTTGTTCATGGTAACAGCATCTGTGTTCACTTGAAAACCACAGTTGTACATCTGGGTAGGAGGCATGATGATTATTCAATCCACATGTAATTTTCAGGAGACAGATGGATCGGAGAGCCCTCTCAGTGATTGACTGGCTTCCCCTGAGCACTGGGGGTGCGTAAGTTTGGAAGCACTGGTCTAGAAGCTTCTGGAAAAACCAGCCAACTAGTCAACTTCTTGGATGGGAGGGAGTGATTCATTATAAACCCATTCTGTCATATATTTAAATATTCTTTATTACTTTTATTAATCACAAAAGTAATTCAAGTTCATTGTAAAAAACACAGAAATGTGTTCTTTGTGCTGTGTTCTAATTTATTCTTTGTTAAAAATTTATTAATTTAAAAGAAAGGGAGAGACAGAGCTCTTCCATCTACTGGTTTACTCCCCAGATGGCCACAGCAGCCATAGCTGAGCCAGGTCGAAGCCAGGAGCCAGGAGCTTCTTTCGGGTCTCCCGTGTGGGTGGCAGGGGCCCAAACACCTGGGCCATCTTCTGCTTTTCCCAGATACATTAACAGGGAGCTGGATCAGAAGTGAATCGAACCAGCACCCATATGGGATGTCCTGGAATGCAGGCAGTGGCGTTACCCATTATGCCACATTGCCAACCCCTCTAATTCTCTTTTGTACAGATAATGGCACATAATATTTACAGAAAGAGGATGTTATATCCATAATGTTCTCTAAATGTGTGTTTATATTTTAACAAATGCAATCGGTGACTTATTTAAGGGAAGCAGTAAGGTTCAGTGGGAAGAATGTTGGGGCTGATTCATTCGAGTCTGTAATGGGCTAGTTGAATGACTCCTAATATGGTAACCCAATAGTTGGGTGATTCTGGATAGGTCACAGATCTTTCTAAAACTCAGTTTTTTCCTGATTTCTAAAATGAAGACTGTGTTTGTCTTTTATTCTCACAAGTTGGTTGTAAGGCTCTAGTGAGATCAAGAGAAAAGGACTCTGTAAACATTGCACAAATCAAACTTAGACTTTCAGCCCTCTTTCCTTTTAAAAGGTTTGACCCACGTCAGTGAACACGGAACCTTGTGGTAACTTCTGTAGTGCTTTCCTTGGAGACAAATAGTGACCAGCCTCCTCTCCCTTTTTTTTTTCCAGGTTACTCCCGGAAGCAAGGCTGCTTTAGCTAATTTATGTATTGGAGACGTAATCACAGCCATCGATGGGGAAAATACTAGCAGTATGACACATTTGGAAGCTCAGAACAAAATCAAGGGCTGCACGGACAACATTACTCTCACCATAGCAAGGTGAGGCTTGTGGAAATGTTCGTCTCACTGAGTGGCTCCTGGCTGTGGGCAGTGCTTCCTTCCCGGTGCTGGAATCCCCTGCACCCCGCTAGCTCCGTGCCCCGCATCCTGGAGGCGCTGGCGTTCCAGGCAGCTGTTGGCCTCTCTGTCTCCACAGCGGTTCTCTCAGATGTCTGTCTTTGCACTTGGTCCAACATAACTGATAAAGTTCCACAGAAGTGGAATCAGTTAAGTGTTGTTAGGGGTCATGGAATGGAGCGCTCTTGCTGGGAACCCTTGTCAATCAATTTAAGGTGCGGCTCCTGAGGCCAGCAGATTACAGTGACGTTAGGCAGAGTGCTGAGTGCAAGCTGAAGTAGCCGCAGCAGGCAGAGCTGAGGTTGAGTGGACTCCCCCGACTGCAGGGAGGAGGTTGTAATTAGGGTAGAGTTTCCATTCTTCTTTTGTTTGGTTGTGGGAGGGGTCCTGCAAGGACCGGATTTCAGAAGTGATTTGGTTCAACCTTCAGTGGCTCCCTATTTCCTATTGGATCCGGTTCAGACTCCTTATTCAGATCCTTCCCTGCAACCCTAGCTTCCCCTGCTTTTTGTCGTGAACGCTTTGCTCAGGTTCTCATCTGTGAAGTCCGTTCATTGCTGTCACAGGATTGGCAGAAGACCGAGTGTGGCTTAGGACCTACGGGAGGTACACCATTTAGTTACTACCTCCTCAAAACACGTTTCGTCCCTCATTCTTTTTTTTTTTTTTAATTAGTTAATTAATTAATTTATTCCCCCCAAGAAACCTTTTATTTAAGGAATACAGACTTCATGCATTTCTTTCTTTTTTTTTTTTTTTTTAAAGATTTATTTATTTATTTATTTGAAAGTCATAGTTACACAGAGAGAAGAGAGGCAAGGAGAGAGAGAGGTCTTCCATCAAATGGTTCACTCCCCTATTGGCTACAATGACGGGAACTGTGCTGATCTGCTTCCTCTGGGTCTCCCACGCGGGTGCAGGGGCCCAAGAACTTGGGCCATCTTCTGCTTTCCCAGGCCATAGCAAAGAGCTGGATTGGAAGTGGAGCAGCTGGGTCTCCAACTGGCACCCATATGGGATGCTGGCACTTCAGGCCAGGGCGTTAACCCACTGTGCCACAGTGCCGGCCCCAATGCATTTCATAAGTACAACTTTAGGAATATAGTGCTTCTTCCCACCCTACCTGCCCTCCCACCCACTCTCACACCTCTCCTCCTCTTCCCTCTCCCATTCCCAGTCCCATTCTCCACTAAGATCCATTTTTTGATCAACTTTATACACAGAAGACCAACTCTGTACTAAGAGTTCAACAATTTGCACAGTAAAACAAACAGAAAACCAAAATAAAACTGTTCCTCAACAGTCAAGACAGGTCCCCTCATTCTTGTTTCTGTTTCTGTGTCAGTCCGGATCTTCCCCTTCACGCCCTAGTTCAAGACATGCATTCGTTGGCTTTTCAAATTATTTTTATTTATTTGAGAGAGACACAGAGAAAGAGATCTTCCATCTGCTGGTTCATTCCCCAAATGCTTGCAATAGCTAGAGTTGGGCCAGGCTGAAGCCAGGAGCCAGGAACTCAATCTCAGTTTTCTCTATGGGTGGCAGGGACCCACATTGTTGACACATTGAACAAATACAGAAATATGTCTTGCACTGTGCTAGGCACTTTGACAAATACAGCAATGATAGGTGAAACTATTCTCTGTCTTCAAGAGAAGATTACACTAATGAAAGTGGAGAATAGACTAAGATCATTGCTGTGCGATTAGTACAAGCAAAATCCTTTGCCAGCTCAAAAAATGAGGCATCACTGGATGTATTTTCATTTTACTTGAAAGGCAGGGAGAGTGAGTGGAGAAAGAGGAGAGAGAGATCTTTGATCCTCTGGTTAACTCTCCAGATGCCCTCAATAGCCAGGGGCTGGGCCAGGCTGAAGCCAGGAATCTGGAACTGGATTTGGGTTTTCCATGTGGGTGGCAGGGACATGAGCCATTATCTGTTGAGGCGCCACTTTAATTTGGGCCAAGCAAGGATCACCGATAAGTTGGTTGTTTGGTCTGGAGCAGTAGCACTGGGCCAAGATAGAGGCAAAGCCCAGTCCGTCCTGAGCAGAGCTCCGGCAGCACGAAGCAGGGAGGATGAGGGTGGAAGAAACCAGGCCAGCTCAGGAGGCCCCGTGGGTGTGTGTCAGGGGCCATCAACCCTGGACACTGTCAGATTGGGGCATTTGAAAGCTCACACTGGTGGCAAATGGAGGGAAAGGCGGATGGCAGGGTGCTAGATAAAGGCCACTAGTTCAGGTAAGGTCGGTATTTTTCTAATCAGCTGTTCATATAATTTATTTGGCACAAATGAAATAGTAGCTCTGTTCACTTGTTGCAGATCTGAACATAAAATCTGGTCTCCTCTGGTGACGGAAGAGGGGAAACGTCACCCATACAAGATGAATTTAGCCTCGGAACCCCAGGTGAGTACCTGCTTGTCACTGCCGCTCCCCTCGCCACCAGCCGCTTGTCCCTTTGGCCACCGTTCAGCACATTCCTGTTTTTTCCTGCCGCGGAGGCCCAGGGCTGAGCAAGCAGGGAAAGCCCTCTGCTGTCGCTGCTGGCCCTGGCTCTTGCTCACTTCTTCCCGTAAGGGAACTGCAGGAGGAAAGGGCTGGAAAGCCCCAGGGAAGGGACGCCCAGCCTGGGCTGGGAGCAGGGCTGGGAAGGCGATAAAGGAAGCATTGCCTGCAAGGGGCAGGGCTGGCAGGACCGGGAAGAATCAAGGCACCGACGTCAGCTTCTTGTGGGCTTTGGACACCGATGCAGCTTAACTCTGGTTCCTAGAAGGCCTAGATCCAGAAGAAATAATGGGGAATTCATCGGAGGACCCTGCCTCTCTTCTCTGTGTCCCCCTACATCTGGTTTCTGTGAGCCTGGGTGGAAAATACCGATTTTTGTTACAGTGAGACTTCTAATGAGACTGTAAAGTTACTAAGACAAAGTGGCAGGGCACCAGTGCACAGTTCATTGGCCAGATGGTTTCCCAGAACAGTGGACTACCAGGACCTTGTATTTGTGACTGTGTCTCTCAGTGGTGGTATTTTAGGTGATTTTATTTCTTCCTTATTTGTATCTGAATTATCCATAATGAATGGGTATATTTGAAAAAATGGGAAACACGTAAAGAAAAATGTTTACAGCATCTTAGTAAAATTCCTCATGTGTAACATGCTATTGTCACAAAGTGTGTGTCTGTTGGATAAATTAATGAAGTGTTAGTGATAAAGGAGTAAGTGAATTGGTAATGGCCTCTGAGAATTTTGCCCTGGGTTTTGATATGTAGTTAACCCCAGGTGAACACTGAAAGTTTAATTTTCTTCTAAATTTGGGATGCTATTTAGTTTTTTTTAAAGATTTATTCATTTATTTGAAAGTCAGAGTTATACAGAGAGAGAAGGAGAAGCAGAGAGAGAGAGAGAGAGAGAGAGAGGTCTTCATTAGCTGATTCACTCCCCAGTTAGCCACAACGGCTGGTACTGTCCTGATCTGAAGCCAGGAGCCAGGAGCTTCTTCTGGGTTTCCCAAGCGGGTGCAGGGGTCCAAAAACTGTATTCCCAGGCCATAGCAGAGAGCTGGATTGGAAATGGAGCAGCCAGGTCTCGAACCAGTGCCCACATGGGATGACAGCACTGCAGGCAGCAGCTTTACCCGCTATGCCACAGTGCTGGCCGACACTATTTAGTTTCATAGTGAACCAAGAAAGCAGGCTGTTTTTTATACATAAAACAGAAAATTGTAGGAAATTGAACTCACATGGTACATTAGTGTGTAAAAGTGGAATGATGGGATAGAAGTCTTATTTTCTCTAATGGCCTCCATTAAAGTTTCAGTTATATAGTTGCACAAGATTTTTTTCCATTAATATAATGAGAATCATACTTAAAAACCCAAGAATCACTTTAAGGATCATTTCGCATCTGCCATTTCAAAATTGACATGAGTATATTATCCTGTACACTCCTGTAAGGAAAGTTCATAAAATGACAGTCTGTAAATTGGCAGTTGTACAAACTAATTCAAAACATACCACAGTTTCAGTTTCCCTGGGAGTTCTCAGCCAGTTCATTACATTTATTCTGGTGTTCGATTTTGATGTGCTAAGTTCCCATGTATTTTATAACCTATTAAGAATGATTTTGGCCGGCGCTGTTGCTCACTAGGCTAATCCTCTGCCTGCGGCGCCAGAACCCCAGGTTCTAGTCCTGGTTGGGGCGCCGGATTCTGTCCCAGTCGCTCCTCTTCCAGTCCAGCTCTCTGCTGTGGCCCAGGAGGGCATTGGAGGATGGCCCAAGTGTTTGGGCCCTGCACCCGCATGGGAGACCAGGAGGAAGCAGCGCACCCGTAGCGGCCATTTGGGGCGTGAACCAACAGAAGGAAGACCTTTCTCTCTGTCTTTCTCACTGTCTAACTCTGCCTGTCAAAAAAAAAAAGAATGATTTTGGTTTCATTTGGTCTACCTGAAATTCTACTTTTCACTTAAATAATGTAATCATTTAAATTTTAGTTATTCTTATTTCTGTCATATTTGATTTTTTTTACTAAGACATAATTTGGTTACTTGTACTAATATTTTGAAGGTGGTTTGCTTTCGATGGAAAAGAAAAACTACTTTAACATCCAACATGAGTATATTTCTTGATTCCAGTAATTCTTGTTCATACAATAAACTTCCCACTCCTCATTTTTCCAAGATCTTCCATGTCTAGCTGTTCTACAGTGAGAGCAGAATTTATCTGTTGTGAAGAGATCTGTTAGTTCATGGAATGCCAGCCAACACCCCAGCTTATCTGAGGTCAGCATAGTTACACACCTAGTTTGTATTTCCTCATTATTGAGTTTCCTTGGAGACTGATAAATACAAAGCCCAAACAATTACATCATCCCTTCCAAAAGGCAAGCCCTAAATCCGCCCGCCTTCTGGAAAGACTAGTATTCACAAGGGGGTAGAGATATTCCTTTTATGTACAAACCAGATACATTCCTGAAAGAGTCTCTATCAAGGGAACATCAGGATTTCTAACCTGAATTTCCCATTGATTCCCATTCTAACTGGAAATGTGTTTCTATGGAGGGTGAAGGGAAGGGGGCCCTGGTTGGCCATCTTCTGTGTGCCAGATACAGTAATTGGTACAGTAATGAGTCATGCCAAGTCATTGTGAGGAAGGCTGTGTTTTCTTCATTTTAGAGCTTGAAGTCTTCAAATATAAAGTAATGACAAGGATGGGGAGAAACTAGTTACCCTGATTTGATCAGTACATATTGTATACATTTATTGAAATGCCACGCTGTTACCCCCTTAATGTGTACAATCAAGTGTTAATCAAAAATTTGTTAGAAAGTTTAAGAAGATGGAAATGTAACTAGCCTGATTGGATCATCAGACGTTGATGAATACATGTATCAAATTATACTGTGTCCCCATAAATATGTGCAATTAAAGTAATAAACATAAAATGGAAGATAAGTGACAGTTGTGTAAGAGATAAGAGCAATAACAAAAGATAAAACTGAAGGTAAGAAATGACAGTTATGCAAAAACAAAGTTAGATAAAAAGAAAAAAAGATTAAAAGACATGGGAGAGGTAGGGCTGGTGCTGTGGTGTAGCAGGTAAAGCCACTGCTTGCAGTGCCTGCATCCCATATGGGTGCTGGTTCAGGTTTTGGATGCTCCACCTCTGATCCAGCGCTCTGCTGGTGGCCTGGGAAAGCAATAGAAGATGGCCCAAGTCCTTGGGTCCCTGCACCCGTATGGGAGACCCAGAGGAAGCTCCTGGCTTCTGGCTTCAGATGGGCGCAGCTCCAGCCATTGCAGCCATCTGGGGAGTGAACCAGCAGATGGAAGACCTCTCTCTGTCTCTGCCTCTGCCTTTCTCTAACTCTGCCTGTCATATAAATCAATACATCTTAAAAAAGAAAAAGACATGGATATAACTCACCTGTGACCAAAGAGGAAGTGGCTGGGAAAACTTGAGCCAAGACAAAAAAGTCAGGGCTGTTGGTGCTCAGCATTGAATGCTGTGCCCAGGGATTGGTGTGGAGCCAGAGAGGAAGAAGGGGGCCATCCTGGCTGCAGCCCTGTGCCTGCCTACGCTGCTATGGGGCATGTGGGCACAAGCCCCAGGCTGCCCTCTATAAGTCTGACTTCATATGATTCGTTTGAGTAGTTGTGCCATAAAGTTTACTTTGCCATTGTTGGATACCTGCTGGAAATTTTTTTCTTGACAAGCTATACATTCTCCTTTTGTGTGAACATAGGTTTTGTCTAGTGGAATTTATAGAGTAAAACCTCACTGGCTCTGACTTGTTATAGAGGAAACAGAAATGTTTGAATATTGAGAAAGAAAAATATTTTTACGCTATCTTTTAAGTTTGATACACGGCTAGCACCACGGCTCACTAGGCTAATCCTCCGCCTTGCGGCGCCGGCACACCGGGTTCTAGTCCCAGTCGGGGCGCTGGATTCTGTCCCGGTTGCCCCTCTTCCAGGCCAACTCTCTGCTGTGGCCAGGGAGTGCAGTGGAGGATGGCCCAAGTGCTTGGGCCCTGCACCCCATGGGAGACCAGGAGAAGTACCTGGCTCCTGCCATCGGATCAGCGCGGTGCGCCGGCCGCAATGTGCCGGCCACGGTGGCCATTGGAGGGTGAACCAACGGCAAAGGAAGACCTTTCTCTCTGTCTCTCTCTCTCACTGTCCACTCTGTCAAAAAAAAAAAAGTTTGATACACAGCTAGCTAAGCTGTTCATTTTCATGCATCATGTTTTCTAAGAAAGCATGAAATACTTGAGGATTTAATAAGAAGAAGAAGGAAAAGGAAGAGCAGCAGCAGGACAGGAAGTCTTTTGGGGGCAGCTGTTCTGGGCCTGGCTGGTTAAGAAAGAGTCCAGAGTGTGGAGGTGTGGTTTTTGGATCTGACATGCGTTGGATTTAGCCAGGCTGTACAGAGCATGAATGGCCTGGAAGCAGGGGCAGATCCAGAAATTTCATGCATCAGGAAGGACCTTGCTGACTGAGTCATCAGAAAAGCTGTGGTTTTTTATTTTTTGGTTTTGGATTTGGGAAAGGAATGTTGGTTTAAAAAGTGTTTTTTGGGGTTTATAAAGAAGCTTTGTAGCTGTAGTAATTACTCCCCAGCCTGGTCTAGGGGCGGGGTGGAGTCCCCGTGCTCAGAGGGGCATGAGACACAGACAGAGGGGCATGAGAGCACCAGCACCTCAAGCTCCTCTGGGCACTGCCCCTGTAACAGGTGCTGCCTCCCTTTTGTCAGATTAGCCGCCTCCTCCTTCCTCAGGAAACAATGGACCCTAACTCCCCTTGTCCCTTCTGCCCCAGGGCCGAGGTGGTCTCTGGTAGTCGGTGGCTGCTACCCTCCGTGGCAGCGCGACCCCCCTCTCTGGCTGACCTAGCTCAGTCCCGGGGAGTTTAGCACCACCTTTTACTATCTGCTGTGCACTTCTCTCTTAAGATCCGAGCTCCTCTCCTCTTACTGCCTCTGGAATGTGCCTTAAAGGTGAGTTTCTGCTCTGACCTGGATCCTGATAGCCAGGGCTTCGAGGGGTGTCCTGCCCTGGGGAACCCTGAGGAGGTCCGCTTTGCTGGACCTCGGGGGAGAATCAGGGCAGAGCTGATGGAGAAGGTGTGGACGTGTAAGGGCCCATCTTGGTAGGCTTCCTTGGGGGTTGCCCTTGTGCCTCTGTGGTATGTCAGGGCCCCTCTGCTTCAGGTTTGGTCTTTAAAAAAATTCTTATTGATTAAAGATTTATTTGTTTATTTGAAAGATGAGTTACAGAGAGAGGGAGATTTTCCATCACTGGTTCACTTCCCAAAGGGCAGCAACAACTGGAGCTGGGCTGATCTGAAGCCAGGAACCAGGAGCTTCCTCTGGGTCTTCCATGTGGGTTCAGGGGCCCAAGCACTTGGCTGTCCTCCACTGCTTTCCCAGGCTCATTAACAGGGAGCTGAATCGGACAGAAGTGGAGCATCTGGGATTTGAATCGGCGCCCGTATGGGATGCCGGCACTGCAGGCAGTAGCTTCACCTGTTTTACCACAGTGCTGGCCCCTTGAGTTTGGTCTTGAACCAGGGCCATTGTGGCTCCCCTGGAGCACCTGGCCCTGGCACTCTGCTGGCACCACCCATTGAGGGGTGCACATTGGGCGCCCTCCTTGATTTCTCCTCTGATCTCTGCCTGCAGGAGGTCCTGCACATAGGAAGCGCACACAACCGAAGCGCCATGCCCTTTACCGCCTCGCCTGCCTCAGTCACTGCCCCCAGGGTCATCACGAACCAGTACAACAACCCGGTCGGCCTCTACTCTTCGGAGAACATCTCCACCTTCAACAGTGCCTTGGAGGCAAGGACTGCCACCAGTGGGGAGGAGGCCAACAGCAGACCGTGAGTAGGCCCTCGAGTTCCCTTCCAGGCCAGTCCTGCGTGAAGCTTTTTAACACCAGGAGCAGGTTCATCCAGGAAAGTGAATGAAGGTTGAACCACTACCCTGGGGAGAAAAGTTTGCACATTTGCTACATTAGTAGAGTACCTCCTACCTTGGTGTTCCTTGCCTGTGAAAATGGGGCAGCCCCTGCTTGCTTTGCAGGCTTGTTGCAGAAATAAGTACCATGTATAACGCTCTCAGCATTTTGGCATGAACAGTTCGTGACTGTTGAGAACTCTTGTGATTTTTGTCCTGATTTCCACGGTCATCGCCCTCTTCTAACTGATCCTCATGCTTCCTCATGCTCTGCTGCCTGTCTTTCTAGTTGGGGACGATTTGAGAGAATCTGGTGTGGATTGTGTGTGTTGACCCTCGGATGCACAGTTGTGGTAAAGCAATGTTTGCTTTTCCCCAGAGTGGACCAGAGATGGTAGAAAGAAGAGAGGTTGCTGAGGCCAGAAATGCCTGCCCATGGGAATGGGTTCTGAGCTGGGGGCGGCGGTGGGGCGCAGGTGGAACTGGGCAGCTGTCACCCTCCTGTCACTGACCTTTTGGCTACGGCTGCCTTTGAGTCTGCATCAAGTCTTGTGAGTCTTCCCAGCAGAGGAGGCGCGGCATCTGTTCCAGGCTGGTCTTAGAAGGTGTAGAAACAATAGGAAAACGGCAGCCCATGGCAAAGGAACCAGGTTAGAGGATGGAGAATGAGAGATGGATGCTGCAGGCAGAGTCAGGGCAGCCGGTCAGTGTATACCGCATCCACAGCAGATGCTGTGTGCATGTGTGCAGGCCTGGGATTCCTGTTCTGAAATGCAAGTTAGAAAGTCTTTTTTTTTTTTAATTTCTGAAATCTCCTGATTTTCAGTGTTGCCAAAATTTAAAATTGTGTTGGACAATGCTGTGTGTTTCTAACTTGTCTGAGCTGGGAGGCTCTTTGCCATTTGCCATCCTCTTTAATGAAGCCCTTTTGGCCATTCAGTTGCCTCTTCACCTTCAGCGAGAATCTGCCCATCTCTTAGGGTAGTTAAATTGCAAAACAAATTGCTTCAGATGCAGAGTCAGAGAGGCTGAGGTTCCAAACTACTTCAGAGTGTGGCCAGGACTGTTGCAGGGACTGCTGTCCACCGAGCACAGGCTATGTGGACATCGTCGTCTTTTCCCTTCAGAAAGACAGATGCACTTTCTAGGGCACTCACTGTGTGTGGGTCTCTGTGCCTGATGCCAGAGGACCCTGGATTTTTTTTTTGAAACCCTCAAGGCCTTGAGACGGAGACTTTTGGCTGGATGACTTTGGCTTTACAAGACCTTGAAGGTTGCTGGCTTTTTTTTTTTTTTTTTTGCAGTAACCAAGGCAGAGTGGCTATGAATGCTACTTTTTCCTTAAAACTCTGTATCCTACAAGGCCTTACTGGCTTGAGATAATGGTGGTCTTTAGGGTAACCTCAGGGTCATTTGGGGTGGCTGAGGAAGACTCCATATTGGGTCCCCCAAGTTTTCCTCCACAGAGACACCCTAAAAGGAAGCTTCTGGGCTTCCAGGCGGAGAGTGGTACAAACACTGAGGGCCACGATCCCTGTTTCTTGCTGCGTTGGTGCTGGGGGAGGCTGAGAATGTGACCCTCTTTGACTGTCCCAGACTGGAATGTTCCATGATCTGGATTTAACAACCCAGGAAATGACACATCCTTAATTGAAAGAGATGCTATGCATTGGGAGAAATATGTGCCTGGGAAGTATTTTTAGTGTGGCCTTGGCTAGTTTTCCTTCCTTAATGTCTTCTTTCTTCTCTCATGCTCCCTGCCTGCTCCCCGCCCCACTTCTGAAACAGTGATGGCTGGGGACTTGCCGGCCTCTGCTCCAGGCTCTGTCGCCTCGGAGTCTTGATGAAAAGCCCCCTTTTGAGATTTCCTCAGCAGAGGGGACCCAGCCTTGGCTCTGTCCCAAACTCTTTGAAGATGAATCCAGGGACAGTGAGAATGCTCACTGCTGAAGCCAGAGGAGCTGCCCCAACAGGCTGTGCTGCCCACGTGGGGGTCTCTGCTTGGGCTCTGTTCCTAGTACATTCTCCGCAAAGAGTGAGTCCCCTGTGAACCCAGCAGCCACTGGGTAACCCTGCTGGCTTAGTCAGCATGGGCCCAGAGCTCGCTTGCCCCCACTGTTTAGTCTGTGAAATTCGCTGAGCTTCCAGAGTTGGCTCACTGCATACTTTGCATCTGAGGTCATCGCCTGTTCCCTGGGGCTCGCCCCTGGGTTTCTTTGTCCCATGCACTTGCAAGCATGCTGCCTGTGTGGCCCTCTGTCTTGTAGGTCTTCACGGGGCTGTGTCCCTGTCCCCAGTCATTGCAGAGCAGAGACAGCATTGCCAGTGGGAAGGCAGGTGAGGGGGCTTGGCCACTGCCCCTCCTCCCAGGACACTCAGATGAAGGGGAGGTCCTTAGTTGAGCCTACTCCTTGATTGAGTGTCTGCTGGGTCCCAGGCGCGTGGGAGATGCTGCTCAGCCAGCAGGGAGCTCTCGCCTTCCATCTGACCTGTTTTTACTGACTTTCACAGTCTGCTCAAACTATGGTAACCCAGAGCCTGGATTTCATTCCTGATAGAACGAGGTCTGATGCTGCCTAAAGGATGTGTAGGTAGAGGGCCTGACCCTCGAGGACCAGCTTTGCTTTTTCTAGCAATGTGACTTTGGGCAAGCTAATATCTCTGAGACTCTGTCTCCTGACCTCCGGGGCGGTGCTCACATCCCCTCCCCACTGGGCTGTTGAGAGCATGTGATGAGGTGTGTACGGAGCACCCAGCGTGGTGTTGGTCTCTGTGCGGTGCTCAGTGAGTGCCAGGTGTTGCTGATTGCGCTGTCCACGAGGGACTCCTGCACTTCTGAGTCCTGGGGCTTCCGGAAGGGTCAAAACAAGTAGACAGATGCTATGGAGAAGATTTCATTAGGACTTAGGGTCCCAGCCAGTGAGCACAGTTAATCCGCTTCCTGATGGAGGGGTGGTCTTTTTGTGGAGTGATTGGTTGAGCTCCCCCTGCTGCTAACAGTAGTCCTGAGATAAGGAGCTCTTCCAAATTGTGCTCTCAGACTTTCCCCCAAGCGCTCATGAGGCAGATTGCTAAGCAGATGCATTGTTCTCTGTTGAGATGGTGTCAGAGGGATCATGTGAACCCTGACTCAGCGGGAGCCGGGTCAGGAGGCCTCTTCCGTCAAGGTGCCTGCCTGACCCTGCGGCTGACCTTGCCCGCCAACTGGCTCTGGTGTCGGGCTGTTTCTTTTCTTCTCCAGTTTCTTTTTATAGGGCCAACATGTAGACCACTGAGCAACAAAACTTAGGGAATGTTCAGGCTGGCTCCCCTTCCAATAATGATCACATAGGGTATCCCAGGATTGCTTCTTTGTGTGCTGGGGCATCTCAAACCCAGGTTGTCAGTTCTTGTGATATGAGACATGAAGGATATTTTCCTGAGTCAGCCTACTTCCTTTGTCTTCTCCCCACATATATGTAAAACAACTGCTAAAATCTCTGTCATTTCAAGTTAGCACTTTGACCATTTTTTGAAAAATTATTTTTATTTATTTGAATGGTGGGGGTGGGGAGAGGGAGAGGGAGGGAGGGGAAGGGAAAGAGGTGGGGAGAAGGGGAGAGAGGGAGAGGGAGACTTCATCCACAGGTTCACTCCCCAAATACCTGCAGTAGTCAGGGCTGTGCCAGGCCGAAGCAGAAGCCTAGAACTCATTCTGGATCTCCCACATGGATGGAAAGGACCCTAATACCTAAGCCATCACTTGCCGCCCTGCAGGGTGCACATTATCAGGAAGCTGGAATTGGGAGTGGAGCTAGAACCAAACCCAGGCACTTCCACAGGGGATGCGGGTGTCCCAAGTGGTGTCTTAACCACTGTGCCAAATACCTGCCCCAGTTTCTACCATTTGAGGAAAAGAGTTCTCACATTTAATTGTACTTGTTACTTTGAGATAATTACAGTTCAGATGCAATTGTAGGAATTAATACAGAGATCCCTTAGGCCCTTTCCCCTGTTTCACTCAGTGGTGACATCTTGAAAGTCATAGCACAGTGGTGTTAAAACCAGGATGTTGGCGTGGGTACAGGTCAGAACCTGGATTCCTACCCCCACCCCCTGCCTGGATCTCTCATGTTACCTCTGTACAGCCACGCTCACTTCTCTCCACCCCCGTAGCCTCCCTAACCCCTGGCACCCACTAGTCTGTGCTTCATTTCTGCAGTTATTTCAGAAATTTCAGAAATGTTTTATTAGTGGAATCATAAAGTATGTAGCTTTCTGGAATTGGCTTTTTTTTTTTTTTTCCTCAGTATAATTCACTGGAGATTTATTATTTAGGTTTTTTGTTTTTTGCTTGTCAGGGAAAATCTTTATTTCTCTTTCATTTTTTCCAAAGAAATCTTTTATTTAAGGAATACAAACTTCATGCATTTCATAAGTACATCTTTAGGAATACAGTGATTCTTCCCACCATACACACCCTCCCACCCACACTCCTACCCCTCTTCCTTCTCCCTCTCCCCATTCTCAGTCTTATTTTTTACTAAGATATATTTTCAATGAACTTTATACACAGATTTAACTATATTAAGTAAAGAGTTCAACAATTTGTGTAAAAAAAACTTTCTCAACAGTCAAGGGCTGCTCAAAGTCATTGTACCTTGAAGTTAATTGTACTTTTTTTTTTTTTGATAAATTAACTTTAAAAAGCACCCAAAATGATGACTCTTTTGTGAGCACTTAGAAATAACTATAAATTATCAGATATAAGAATATATTCCATATAATACGTTAAAAGAAAGTAAGTCTTTGAGAACAAGTTTTATCATTAATTAAAGAAGCACCTAAGAAGACAAGCAATGGAGTTGCACATGTAGGCATAACTAAAACTAATGAGACATAAGAATGTTCTCCACTTAATGCACTAAAATGAAATAAACCTTTG